TTCCTACCATCATGGTGTATGCTGCATGACCGTCCTCACCGGTTCCTACCATCATGGTGTATGCTGCATGACCGTCCTCACCAGTTCCTACCATCATGGTGTATGCTGCATGACCGTCCTCACCAGTTCCTACCATCATGGTGTATGCTGCATGACCGTCCTCACCAGTTCCTACCATCATGGTGTATGCTGCATGACCATCCTCACCAGTTCCTACCATCATGGTGTATGCTGCATGACCGTCCTCACCAGTTCCTACCATCATGGTGTATGCTGCATGACCATCCTCACCAGTTCCTACCATCATGGTGTATGCTGCATGACCGTCCTCACCAGTTCCTACCATCATGGTGTATGCTGCATGACCGTCCTCACCAGTTCCTACCATCATGGTGTATGCTGCATGACCATCCTCACCAGTTCCTACCATCATGGTGTATGCTGCATGACCGTCCTCACCAGTTCCTACCATCATGGTGTATGCTGCATGACCGTCCTCACCAGTTCCTACCATCATGGTGTATGCTGCATGACCGTCCTCACCAGTTCCTACCATCATGGTGTATGCTGCATGACCGTCCTCACCAGTTCCTACCATCATGGTGTATGCTGCATGACCGTCCTCATCAGTTCCTACCATCACGGTGTATGCTGCATGACCGTCCTCACCAGTTCCTACCATCATGGTGTATGCTGCATGACCGTCCTCACCAGTTCCTACCATCATGGTGTATGCTGCATGACCGTCCTCACCAGTTCCTACCATCATGGTGTATGCTGCATGACCATCCTCACCAGTTCCTACCATCATGGTGTATGCTGCATGACCGTCCTCACCATTTCCTACCATCATGGTGTATGCTGCATGACCGTCCTCACCGGTTCCTACCATCATGGTGTATGCTGCATGACCGTCCTCACCGGTTCCTACCATCATGGTGTATGCTGCATGACCGTCCTCACCAGTTCCTACCATCATGGTGTATGCTGCATGACCGTCCTCACCAGTTCCTACTCTCATAGTAAGGGCCAAGCCACACAAGTAGCCCTGCAAAGTACTGAAAATATGAGGCACATGTGACATGCTCCTGCAATGCTCGGAATACATGACACATGTGACATGCTCCTGCAATGCTCGGAATACATGACACATGTGACATGCCCCTGCAATCCTCGGAATACATGACACATGTGACATGCTCCTGCAATGCTCGGAATACATGACACATGTGACATGCCCCTGCTATGCTCGAAATACATGACACATGTGACATGCCCCTGCAATCCTCGGAATACATGACACATGTGACATGCTCCTGCAATGCTCGGAATACATGACACATGTGACATGCCCCTGCAATGCTCGAAATACATGACACATGTGACATGCTCCTGCAATCCTCGGAATACATGACACATGTGACATGCCCCTGCAATGCTCGAAATACATGACACATGTGACATGCTCCTGCAATGCTCGAAATACATGACACATGTGGCGTGCTCCTGTAATGCTCGAAATACATGACACATGTGACATGCTCCTGCAATGCTCGGAATACATGACACATGTGGCGTGCCCCTGCAATGCTCGAAATACATGACACATGTGACATGCTCCTGCAATGCTCGAAATACATGACACATGTGGCGTGCCCCTGCAATGCTCGAAATACATGACACATGTGACATGCTCCTGCAATGCTCGAAATACATGACACATGTGACATGCCCCTGCAATGCTCGGAATACATGACACATGTGACATGCTCCTGCAATGCTCGAAATGCATGACACATGTGACATGCTCCTGCAATGCTCGGAATACATGACACATGTGGCGTGCTCCTGCAATGCTCGAAATACATGACACATGTGACATGCTCCTGCAATGCTCGAAATACATGACACATGTGGCGTGCTCCTGCAATGCTCGAAATACATGACACATGTGACATGCTCCTGCAATGCTCGGAATACATGACACATATGACATGCCCCTGCAGTGCTCGGAATACATGACACATGTGACATGCTCCTGCAATGCTCGGAATACATGACACATATGACATGCCCCTGCAATGCTCGGAATACATGACACATGTGACATGCTCCTGCAATGCTCGGAATACATGACACATGTGGCGTGCTCCTGCAATGCTCGAAATATACGACGCATGTGACATGCTCCTGCAATGCTCGGAATACATGACACATGTGGCGTGCTCCTGCAATGCTCGGAATACATGACACATATGACATGCCCCTGCAATGCTCGAAATACATGACACATGTGACATGCTCCTGCAATGCTCGGAATACATGACACATGTGGCGTGCTCCTGCAATGCTCGAAATACATGACACATGTGACATGCTCCTGCAATGCTCGAAATACATGACACATGTGGCGTGCTTCTGCAATGCTCGAAATACATGACACATGTGACATGCTCCTGCAATGCTCGAAATACATGACACATGTGACATGCTCCTGCAATGCTCGAAATACATGACACATGTGACATGCCCCTGCAATGCTCGGTATACATGACACATGTGACATGCTCCTGCAATGCTCGAAATACATGACACATGTGATATGCTCCTGCAATGCTCGAAATACATGACACATGTGGCATGCTCCTGCAATGCTCGAAATACATGACACATGTGACATGCTCCTGCAATGCTCGAAATACATGACACATGTGACATGCCCCTGCAATGCTCGGAATACATGACACATGTCACATGCTCCTGCAATGCTCGGAATACATGACACATGTGACATGCTCCTGCAATGATCGAAATACATGACACATGTGACATGCTCCTGCAATGCTCGAAATACATGACACATGTGGCGTGCTTCTGCAATGCTCGAAATACATGACACATGTGACATGCCCCTGCAATGCTCGGAATACATGACACATGTGACATGCTCCTGCAATGCTCGGAATACATGACACATGTGGCGTGCTCCTGCAATGCTCGAAATATATGAAGCATGTGACATGCTCCTGCAATGCTCGAATTACATGACACATGTGACATGCTCCTGCAATGCTCGAAATACATGACACGTGTGGCGTGCTTCTGCAATGCTCGAAATACATGACACATGTGACATGCCCCTGCAATGCTCGGAATACATGACACATGTGACATGCTCCTGCAATGCTCGAAATACATGACACATGTGACATGCTCCTGCAATGCTCGAAATACATGACACATGTGGCGTGCTCCTGCAATGCTCGGAATACATGACACATGTGACATGCTCCTGCAATGCTCGGAATATATGACACATGTGACATGCTCCTGCAATGCTCGAAATACATGACACATGTGGCGTGTCCCTGCAATGCTCGGAATACATGACACATGTGGCGTGCTTCTGCAATGCTCGAAATACATGACACATGTGACATGCTCCTGCAATGCTCGGAATACATGACACATGTGAGATGCTCCTGCAATGCTCGAAATACATGACACATGTGGCGTGTCCCTGCAATGCTCGGAATACATGACACATGTGGCGTGCTTCTGCAATGCTCGGAATACATGACACATGTGACATGCTCCTGCAATGCTCGGAATACATGACACATGTGACATGCTCCTGCAATGCTCGAAATACATGACACATGTGACATGCTCCTGCAATGCTCGAAATACATGACACATGTGGCGTGCTCCTGCAATGCTCGAAATACATGACACATGTGACATGCTCCTGCAATGCTCGAAATACATGACACATGTGGCGTGCTCCTGCAATGCTCGAAATACATGACACATGTGACATGCTCCTGCAATGCTCGAAATACATGACACATGTGACATGCCCCTGCAATGCTCGGAATACATGACACATGTGACATGCTCCTGCAATGCTCGAAATACATGACACATGTGACATGCTCCTGCAATGCTCGAAATACATGACACATGTGGCGTGCTCCTGCAATGCTCGAAATACATGACACATGTGACATGCTCCTGCAATGCTCGGAATACATGACACATGTGACATGCCCCTGCAATGCTCGGAATACATGACACATGTGACATGCTCCTGCAATGCTCGGAATACATGACACATGTGACATGCTCCTGCAATGCTAGAAATACATGACACATGTGACATGCTCCTGCAATGCTCGAAATACATGACACATGTGGCGTGCTTCTGCAATGCTCGAAATACATGACACATGTGACATGCCCCTGCAATGCTCGGAATACATGACACATGTGACATGCTCCTGTAATGCTCGAAATACATGACACATGTGGCGTGCTCCTGCAATGCTCGAAATACATGACACATGTGACATGCTCCTGCAATGCTCGAAATACATGACACATGTGACATGCCCCTGCAATGCTCGGTAAACATGACACATGTGACATGCTCCTGCAATGCTCGAAATACATGACACATGTGACATGCTCCTGCAATGCTCGAAATATATAATACTGATCAAGATTAATCACTTCAGTAGTGCGAAGAATGACCAACTCACCTCACCTTCACTGCGCTATTACTCGCTCATTCATCCACTGAATATAACGAGTAATGATCTCAAAATAAATGATCAATCCAATTGGTCAAAACAAATAAATTGATCATACATATGCACTTTTTATCCAGCCATATGGGGTATGATTATGTTCGTCCTGTGATTCTGCTTCTTGCCAAACTTTTGTGCTTTTTCGAGTAAATATGCTTTAACATTTACATTTACTCGTGTAAATATGATGGAACATTTACATTTACTCATGTAAATATGCTGGAACCTTTTGCATTAAAATGTATAAATGTGCTGGAACCTTTACATTTAAACGTGAAAATATGCAGGAACATTTACATTTAATCGTGAAATATGCTGGTACATTTGCTTTTGTAAATACATAACAGAAATAATGAAAATTATGGTAAACTACTGTAAAGATGAACACAGGAGGTGGAGAGAAAGTCAGTAAAACATAAAAATCAATATATTTCCAGTGACTAAGATATTATACATTAGTTAGTATAAAACTGTGATCCAGATCATTACTGATCATAAAAGCAACTTTTAAAATCAATACAATAAATGTCAAACACTTATGAAGATAATGAATACATATCAAAGGTTCACTACTAAATTAGTTTAGACTGTTAAAATGTCATAGTTTTAACAGCCAAGGTTGAAAAATAATATAAATCCCCTTCACCTCCAGAATTAAGGAGCATTCTGACTTCTTGGTGCCAGATTCACGAAGCAGTTAAGCAAGCACTTACGAACGTGTACATCTTTCCTCAATCTTTGACGGCTTTGGTTACATTTATTAAACAGTTTACAAGCATGAAAACTTCCCAATCAACTTTTGATATTGTTATAAACAGTTTACATAGTTATAAACAGCTGATATTGTTATAAGTTGTTATTGTTATAAGTTGATAAGTTGATATTGTTATAAACAGTTATAAACAGTTAAACAGTTTCTCCTGGTGCTTCGGAGCTCATTTACTGTTTAATATTTGAAAACACAGCCTCCGAAGATTGAGAAAAGATGTACATGTTCGTAAATGCTTCGTGAATCTGGCCCCAGGTTCGCAAGTCCTTGCGAAGCTGCATTATGAATCAGGATCCTGGAGTCTAAAAGGCTCTAAATCACATGGGAGTCCCACACTGCAGCTCTGCAAGTATTCTCGGTTTTAAATATCATCAAGGCAACAGAACGAGTCTGTGAGATAATTGCCTCTCTCGTAATTAGGAAGCATCATATTTTCCCTAACGATCATATAGGTGGGATGCAATACAAAGATCTTAATAACATTCCATGAACATTATAGAATCGGCGTAGGAATAATATTGAACCAAACATAACATTAGTGTAAATACCAATATTTGCAAGTGTTAAATGTTTGCAGTACAGTCAAGGCGTCCAACCTGCCTCAATGTTAAGAGTAAGCAGGTCATTCCTGAGGCCAATGAGGCATGTTAAAAGTGAGCAGGTCGTTCCTGAGGCCAATCATGAATGTTAAGTGAGCAGGTCGTTCCTGAGGCCAATCATGAACGTTAAGAGTGAGCAGGTCGTTCCTGAGGCCAATCATGAATGTTAAGTGAGCAGGTCGTTCCTGAGGCCAATCATGAACGTTAAGAGTGAGCAGGTCGTTCCTGAGGCCAATCATGAATGTTAAGTGAGCAGGTCGTTCCTGAGGCCAATCATGAACGTTAAGAGTGAGCAGGTCGTTCCTGAGGCCAATCATGAATGTTAAGTGAGCAGGTCGTTCCTGAGGCCAATCATGAACGTTAAGAGTGAGCAGGTCGTTCCTGAGGCCAATCAGGCATGTTAAAAGTGAGCAGGTCGTTCCTGAGGCCAATCAGGCATGTTAAAATTGAGCAGGTCGTTCCTGAGGCCAATCAGGCATGTTAAAAGTGAGCAGGTCGTTCCTGAGGCCAATCATACATGTTACGAGTGAGCAGGTCGTTCCCGAGGCCAATCATGCATGTTAAGAAACACACTAAACAAAGGTAACATCTGCAACATTTCATACTTAAAAAATTGCTGAGCCAGATATTCCTTGATATAAACAATATAAACATCGATTGGGCGAATGATCCCTAGGATTGAACGCTGAGACAACCTCACCACCTTCATACAGCACACTGAGACAACTTCACCACCTACATACAGCACACTGAGACAACCTCACCACCTACATACAGCACACTGAGACAACCTCACCACCTACATACAGCGCACTGAGACAACCTCACCACCTACATACAGCACACTGAGACAACCTCACCACCTACATACAGCATACTGAGACAACTTCACCACCTTCATACAGCACACTGAGACAACTTCACCACCTACATACAGCACACTGAGACAACTTCACCACCTTCATACAGCACACTGAGACAACTTCACCACCTACATACAGCACACTGAGACAACTTCACCACCTACATACAGCACACTGAGACAACCTCACCACCTACATACAGCACACTGAGACAACTTCACCACCTACATACAGCACACTGAGACAACTTCACCACCTACATACAGCACACTGAGACAACTTCACCACCTACATACAGCACACTGAGACAACTTCACCACCTACATACAGCACACTGAGACAACTTCACCACCTACATACAGCACACTGAGACAACCTCACCACCTACATACAGCACACTGAGACAACTTCACCACCTACATACAGCACACTGAGACAACTTCACCACCTACATACAGCGCACTGAGACAACTTCACCACCTACATACAACACACTGAGACAACCTCACCACCCACATATAGCATACTGAGAGACATCCTCACCACCTACATACAGCATACTGAGAGACATCCTCACCACCTACATATAGCATACTGAGAGACATCCTCACCACCTACATAAAGCATACTGAGAGACATCCTCACCACCTACATATAGCATACTGAGAGACATCCTCACCACCTACATACAGCATACTGAGAGACATCCTCACCACCTACATACAGCTTTCTGAGAGACATCCTCACCACCTACATATAGCATACTGAGAGACATCCTCACCACCTTCATACAGCATACTGAGAGACATCCTCACCACCTACATACAGCATACTGAGAGACATCCTCACCACCTACATATAGCATACTGAGAGACATCCTCACCACCTACATACAGCATACTGAGAGACATCCTCACCACCTACATACAGCATACTGAGAGACATCCTCACCACCAACATACAGCATCAAGCCAAAACCAATAATAATCATGATAATGGACAAACTTTAAAATTTCCTATACTATGTCCCACACTCAGCTTCTCTCTTGCTATCTTATCTACAAAAAAATCCATATATAATCTTTGATATCTGCGCCACAAACTTCCTGAAACCACCAACATGGAGCAAAACTCAGCTGTCAGAACTATAGATTTGTTTGAAGTTTGAAGTTAAAGCAGTCAGAACTGTTTGTTTGAAGACAGATTCTGGCTTCAAACAAACAATTTCATATATCTTCCTGTTATAATCCCTGAACGCGCTAAACATACACTCACTCCACCATACTCCTGTAAAAACATTTACAGGTGAATGCAAACTCTTGTAAAGAGGTATTTTTTTTCTCTTGTTTGAGTTTCTATTGTGATTGTAGCTGTTGATTTTAATCGTGCTGCTATTCATGACATTTATAATCATTGCTTGATTGTGAGTTGAAATTATGTAACGTTTGATAGAACTTTGTTGCTTGTGCATTTTTTTTGTTTTTGGATCTTGAAAGAGATGTAAAAAATTGGCAAGATGACAACATCTCTTAAATGTTGCATAATACTGCACAGACTACAAATCTAATCCACAGGTTTTGCTAAGTATTCTCAGTGAGCACCAATAACCAAAATATTAGATTAAACTTTGTATTATTTTAGTATAGGACATATATATTTTCTTGCTCTTTTTCAAGGTGTATATAATTGATATTATAGGTGTTGTTGAATGTTTAGTTAAGCAGATCTCGTGCTTTTTTGACATGCTGATCTTTTGGGTCTAAATAACTTTCATTTTCAAACCATGTTTTGAGATGTTTGTGTTGTTCTGGGGTATATATATTTTTTTCTGTATAATAATTAAAAAAACCCAAGTGACGCTTTTTAAGGTTTGCTCTGTCATCTTTACTCATCTGTTTTTTGCCATTATGGTAATCTTGGTTTATGGATCCTATTGATGAGTACTTCGTCATGGATATGGGATCATTTTCTGCTATGCTTTCTGTAATTAGATTACGACATTTAGGTGATTTGGTGGTGGGGAAATTGATATGGTCTTCCTTTTTGACGGTGACAGCCGGGAGATAATAGCCATGATTTCGTTTTACTTTGTCAATGTTGTTAGAGTCCAAAGGTTTCCCGTTTGTTGCTAACGTCATCAATTTCTGACTCAACTCGCTCTCTGGGTTTTTGTCATATGCGTTTACAACACAGCTCACAGGTGGTTGATGATCTGCGTTTACTTGATCTCCTATTCCTTTGTTTTTTCTCCGTTGATCATTATATGCATCAATATCATCCAAAGCTTCGTTAACTGCTCGTCGTCCACCCTCGACGTTAAACCAGTCACAGTTTCTGACTCTATCAATGTACTCTTTGCGCTGAATAAGATGTGCCCAGTGATGTGGGGACTCCCGGAGTGCCTGAGCCTCCATCTGCCTCAGCCTCCTGGCCTCTGACCTGACCTGCTCTTCAGATGCTCCATGATTGAGACCCCTTGCCAGAGCCTGGAACATGCAGCTCCTGCCTTCACTCTCTATCTTGACAACTTTACCATTAATACGAACATCATAGTGACCATCCGGATATTTGTTATCCTTTGGCTTATATATTAACTCCACTGTCTTAGAAGCTGTTGTAGTACTGGGGTCCAACTCGTACATTTTACTGAGTGTGCCGTGCTTGTCTTCGACAACTACTATCTTGGTCCCAGTTTCCTCAGAGAGCACCCTGAGATCCAACAGCGAACCTGCGCTCTGAGCATCTTCAATTTTCTGGGAGTAGGACTGCACACTTTGGTGCTCCTGATTAGTAAGATTCTCCTTCTTTATTGTGTTGATCTCAGCGCTGGCAATGTCCAGACTGTATTGTCCAGCTTTCAGCTTTTCCAAGTTTCTCTCTGTGTACATTTTGCTGGATAGGAATTGTGAGATGTGTTTATTGATATTCGTTTGAGCGATACTCACCAGATGGGAAGAGAATATCGTATGAAATATATCAACCGCAGCATCTGCCAGTTGCTTACCAATTACATCAGCCAGTTGTTCTCTCAAGACTTTCAGACTCTGCTTCTCTTCACTGGACAATTCAATCTTATTTTCTATAATTATTTGTTCTTTATTAACTACATTGTTTTCTTGGCTTGTTGCCTCAGTTTGATTATTACTTACTTCTTTTTCATAAAATATTTTTACGTTATTACAGTACTTGCTGTTGAACTCAGTGCACAATGTAAGAATTGCATCGACTGCACAGACGCAGAGGGCCGACATATGACCAATTTGGATGACAGTGAGTATTGTTTTTTTTTTGCCTGTGACTTCCAGTTTAGCTTTTTCTATTACATTAAAAATGGAAGAGGAGTGTTTTTTTAGTGAGTCAAAATTGTTAAAGTTTTCTTTAAGAACTCCATCTGCAAGAGATTGAAAAATGTCCTTGATTATTTTGTTGTGTTCCTTATGCTCTAGAAGGTATTTGATTTGATTGGTACTTGAAACTTTTAGCATAATCAGATTGTTAACTTGGGATTGCAATTGGGTTTCTTCCATGTCACGCTTAACTTTATCAATGGCTGCGGGTCTCATCACTTCTTTTATTTTATCAAGGATTTTATCAACAACATATTCCTCAGTTTGGCTTATCCCATACATTACTGATTGTTCCACAAGTTGTTTGCCGGCAAATGTTGCTGCAGTTTTCATATTTTTCTTCAAAACAGCTGTGAGCCCTCCTTTGAATTGTTTAGACAGAGTCTTGGGAAGGGAAGTCAACTTACTACCTTTCATTGCGGATTTGATGCCCTTGAAACCCTTAGAAAGTATTTTGCCAAAGCAAAATCCAACTAGAGAAACGACAATAGAAACTACTTTTCCAATGGCCCATGAGGTCCAACTAAACTCTCCACTTGCCATTGCACCTAATCCATAAATGATGTCAGATATCCCTTCAGAAATTAGCTCCATGCCAACGTTTGCGAGTAACCCCGAAGAGATAGAAATCATGAATACTCCAACTGCCACTTGTGTAATCCCCAGTATGGTAACTACAAGTCCCTGCCAGCAGAAGCGCTTCTCCTCCTTCACAGAAAAAATGTTGACAAGGCCTAGCTTGTAAAATTCGTATAGTTCCTCCCTGATTTCTGTCTGGAATTCTGGCACCATTGAGAAGACACTCGCCTCCTCCACGTTTGCATCCTTGTCACTTTGTTTCATCTTATTCAGTTTGTCGATGGCTTCTTCAATATTCTTCTGGAATATTCGAAGCATCTCAAGCTTGCTCTGGATGCGCTTCTCAAACCTGGAGTTAGCTCCGTCAGAATCTCTGATAGACATATTAACAAGTTGAGAGGTCACGATACATTGCTCCTGAAAGATACCCACTGAATCCCTTGCTTTTTTTAAATCCTCTGTGGCATTGTCTATATAATTACGACGTCTGGCTTTCATGGTACAGTAGGCGTGGCTGTAGAAAGCAATGGCTGCCCAAGATGGATCAATGATCATTGCTTTCTTGTACAAACGCGCACTTTCTTGAATTTTATTGTCAAACAGTAAAGTGTTTGCAAGATGGATGTAGTGATAAATGCAGGAAGAAGGGGACTCATTTGACTCTAACTGATGCTTAGCGTTCCGTATATCTTCGGTAAGGCAAAGTACAAGATCTTCTTTCTTCAGCTGCAGGATCTCCTTACTCTTTATTTGAAGCCATATTCCCCAGTACTCGTTCATAGCTGCAACAGTAACTTGGCGCTCATGAAGGTCTTGGGTATTACTGTAGATGTCTTTAAGAATATCACAGTACTTCACAAAAAGTTCTTCTCTTAGAAAAATTTCTGGTACATGGTCAGTCATTATTTTCTCTACCTTGGTTCTAGCCCGCTGGTCCCTCTTGACCTTCAGTGCCTGCAGTGTTTCTGCTGATCTAAGGGAAACTTGCAGATGACTGGAGCAGACAATCAGCTGGGCAGAGCCCGGCTTACCCTTGCGTGCTGTGCGGCCAAAGGCTTGAAGCTCAACTCTAGAATTCATAGAGAGGAATGTGAGGACAACAAACAATCCACCACCGTCATTGACCTCGTCAGAGATCTTAATGTCTGTACCGCGGCCGGCCAGGTTGGTAGCAACAATTACGTCACCCGGGTTTAGCACACTTTGTGTGATGGCTAAATTGTCGCTGTTGCTGTGGATATACATCTTTAGCTCACCGAGCACCTGGTCCTTAAGAGCACTATGGATTTCTTTGGCTTTGTTGATAGTTTCACAAATGATCAGAGCTGCGCGGCCTCTCCGGTACTCTGTTGGCTTTATCTGATTCTGTACACAAGTGATAATTTCTTTTTGCCAATCATCTGGAGAACCTGTTATCTCTCCTTTCATTTCAAAAAGTTTACTTCTGTTAAATGAGGGAACTCGGCAAGCAGAAAGCGTCGGGTAGAGCTTAGTAAGGCAGTGGAGGTCAGATTCTGTCCCCAGAGTGCCTGTTGTTCCATAAATTTGATTTTTATACATCTTAAAGAAAGTGACATTGGAAATGAAGTTGGTAACAGTAGACAAGGTGCTAAGTTTTGTCTGGTGTTTCAGTTCCAGAAACTGCATCAAACCGTCCCCCCATTTCATATTCATTTCCACAATGCCAGTTGATAGGAAATCTACTGGAAGAATTTGTTCTCCTTCAACAATATACTCTCTGCCTTCTTGAAACTTCAGGGCCATGAAAGCTTTCTGGACCCATGTTTCCATCTTTGTCTCCACCAGATCTCTGAGAAATCCGGGAATGTCCAGTTTTTCTTGATTTTTTTCACAAGGAGTGAACTGTAGGTGATGTCTTGTGTTATTTCCAATAGGTCCCCATAGAGTCCCATCGGAATCATATAAGGCACAGCATAGTCCATCCTGTAGGACTAGAAGAGGAATCTCTTGGATATCTTCTAATTCTTCTGAACTACGACCTGTAGGCTGAAGCATTCCTCTTTCATCCTGGATAAAGGGAATGAATTGACAGGGAAAATATTCTTCAGCTTTACTTAGAAATTCCAACATGGTATCTTGACTGACTATCTTTAGTTTATCAAATAATTTATCGGTCTTATAAATCTCTTTAGTGAAACCAGAAGGCACAAAATTATTTGTTTCAGCTATCGTGAGTATATCAATTGGCTCCTGAATCTCAAGTTCTTCTGTGTCAAGGGAATTATATACTGCTGAATAGAAAGGTAAAGCGGGACCCCTGATAAACACCTTGTTTTCGGTACCTACTAGACCATATTGGCTGACAACGCTCCAGATCATTGCAAGGATTGGATTCAGGTGATGCATACTGACAACGTCACTGGACAAGTTGGTCAGCTGGACCCCACGGTCCAACAAGACGCTGTCAACTTCATCCACAATAATGCACTGAAACTGACGGTCAGGTCTGATGTCTCTCAGCTCAAAGGTCTGGCGAAGGTGATCAGCAGCAAAGGTTTCAACAGTTCCATAAACAATGCCAGATTCGTAGCATTTCTTGCGCTCTCCATCATTCATTTTGTTGGTATTTATATCAACACTTATGTTAAAATATTGATAATATTCTCGCCATTCGGTTTCATCCCTTTCGCACAAAACCGGGGAGCTGGTTGCTATGTCTACTTTTTCTCCCATCAAGACTCGAGTGGCAGCAAACATGGCTATGACACAAGACTTGCCCTCACCGGTCCCCAGCTCCACAAGTTGTCCTGAGTCTGACAGCACTAACAGACACCAACTGACCATCTGCGTAACTCTGGGCCACCATTTCATTTGTTCAAAAACCACCTTACACAGGACGAACAAGATTTTCTGAAGATTTTCTGGGTTTTTGCTAAACTTTTCAAAGTAATTTCTTAAACAAAAATTTCCATCGACCACATCTTTTTTGAAGTCTTCAATTTGCTTCTGGACATTTCTAACGATGCAACAAACTTTATCAACTATTGTCTGTTTAATATTGTTCATTTGCATTATTTCATTACGAACAATTTCAAGACTTTTCTCATTTTCAAGATTTAGAGACAGTTTAAAATGTTCCAACATACTTTGAGCATCACTTGACTCAATGAGGTGTAGTAAGGAACGTTCGTCTTTGTCTTTCCATTCATCACTAACACGATGAATCTCCGCTAAATGTAGGATTTTCATGGTTGTAATGTGATCATATTTTAGAGTTAATCCAGTGAGTAGATCAACCATTTCAACTGGCTTCCACAAGTCACTTTGAAGAAGTCTTAAACAAATCTTTACTGCAGTTTCTGAGTGAGGGTCGTCATGCAGCACCTGTGAAACTGCCTCAACAACTAACTCCAAACATTTTCGTTCCAGTTCATTTACATGTTTTATATGGAACCTTTTCCCAGTTGTTTCTCTGAAGGATTTGATAAACTTTTCTAAATATTTTAAAAGATTTTTTTGTCGCTCAAAATTGTTCCTGCTGTGAGCATAAAACAGAGTTCTGATGAAGTTTGTGACCTTATTTACAAAGGATTTTGAGTCTATAGTTGTCGCCATTAATGTTTGCAAAAGGGAAGACACTTTTGTAGTTAGAGCATTGTCATCGAATGTGTTTGTTACTTGTGAGCAATGTTTTAAATACGAAGGATCTTCTTGAAGAATGATATTCTGTACCAGACATACTTGATTTTCCTTCTTTTGTTCAAACTTAGCCTGCAGATAGATGGAAGTAATGAAGTCTTCAGTCACATTGATAATATTAGAATGAAGAGCTTCTTGTTGAGGTTTGTTAGAGGCTGTGTCAAATGCGATGTCAATATTATTAAAAAAATTGGACCACTGTTCAAGTTCCTCGTGGCACAGGGCACTGGAGCTCCAGACAATATCCACCCACTCTCCTCTCAGTACCTTCAAGGCAGCAAACATGGCCACCACACAAGAATCATCTTTTGAAATGATAACCTTTCCATTCTCACACAGAACATTTATACACCACCTGATCATCTGTTCGACTGTTGGCCACTCATTTAGAGACTTAAAAACGGCCTGACAGAGAGCCAACAAGACCTGCTGGAGGTTGTCTGTTAGATGACCTGACGGTGTAAATAATTGTATTTGACAAATTTTGTGTTTTTCATTTTGTTGTAGTTTCAGTTTAGTCTGCACAGTGTGAACAATCGTGTGAATTTGTTCAATAGTAGTTTCCTGAAGTTGTTTATTTTCTTTAATGTTTGCAAGAATGATGTCTAATCTTACATATTCTTTTCTAAAATAATTTTCGATATTCTGATAATCATCTTTTGAGTCAATTAGGTTTAAAAATCGTTTTAGAAAATAGTTCTTGTTCTGTGACTCAGGTGAAATGTTATTAGTATACAGCAAGTTTATAACTTTCACGGCAGAAATGATATCTTCAAATTTTTCTGTAAGGATTTTGAGAAGATTTACTGCTTCAATTGGGGTCCAATAGTTTCTCTGGACAAGTCCAATTAGGTCCTTAAAAAGCTCAGATTGAAGACCATCAAAGCTAGTTTGAATAACTGTGGCGACAAGCAACTCAAAACAGGTTTTCTGCACTTTCAAGATATTTGTCACCTCGTCATTGTCTTCCATTGTGTTTAAAAGTATTTCATGGAATTTAAGAAGAAAGTTTTCTTCAACTGAGAGTTCTTTCTTTCTCCATTTGTTAACAATAGCTGTAGTTGCTAGGTCATAGGGAGTGCTGGAAGCTCTGAGATATCGAAAAGTATCAAAAAGAGCTTTTGTCAATTCCAGAGACTCGCTGAAGTTGCTGCCTGTAATGACGAGTGTCTCTACAGTAAAGTTAACGCTCTGGACAACACGTTCAAGCGAGGCTCTGTCAGACACATCCAGGGAAACTATAATCAATTCTTGAATAATAACCTGAGCATGAATTAAATCCTCTTCTTTCGGGACTTTACATGACTGCTCCCCAAACAAAAGGTTGTCAAGGGTCAAGATGAGTTTCTTAATCTGTTCTGGTGTTATATGACTGAAATCTAAAGCACCAATGGCTATGCCAGAAGTGACATTGAGGTGTTCCTGGTCACTGGGCATGTCAAAGGCTTCACACCTGTCAAAATATCTGACAGTTCTCTCTCCTTCCGTCATTTTATTATTACTGACTTTGACTGAGTCTCTGCCTGCAAGAGAGAGTGACTTGGCTGTCTGGAAGGTCTCCACGAGCCTTGCTCTCAGCTCTTCTCCTTCATGTCTCTTTTCTTTCTCCTCTTTCCTCTTCAACTGTTCCTCCCTTCGTCGTTTCTCTTCTGCCTTCTTCTTCAACTGCTCCTCCCTCCGTCGTCTCTCTTCTTCCTTCTTCAACTGCTCCTCCCTCCGTCGTCTCTCTTCTTCCTTTTTCAACTGCTCCTCCCTCCGTCGTCTCTCTTCTTCCTTCTTCAACTGCTCCTCCCTCCGTCGTCTCTCTTCTTCATTTTTCAACTGCTCCTCCCTCCGTCGTCTCTCTTCTTCCTTCTTCAACTGCTCCTCCCTCCGTCGTCTCTCTTCTTCCTTTTTCAACTGCTCCTCCCTCCGTCGTCTCTCTTCTTCCTTCTTCAACTGCTCCTCCCTCCGTCGTCTCTCTTCTTCCTTTTTCAACTGCTCCTCCCTCCGTCGTCTCTCTTCTTCCTTCTTCAACTGCTCCTCCCTCCGTCGTCTCTCTTCTTCCTTCTTCAACTGCTCCTCCCTCCGTCGTCTCTCTTCTTCCTTCTTCAACTGCTCCTCCCTCCGTCGTCTCTCTTCTTCCTTCCTCAACTGCTCCTCCCTCCGTCGTCTCTCTTCTTCCTTCTTCAACTGCTCCTCCCTCCGTCGTCTCTCTTCTTCATTTTTCAACTGCTCCTCCCTCCGTCGTCTCTCTTCTTCCTTCTTCAACTGCTCCTCCCTCCGTCGTCTCTCTTCTTCCTTTTTCAACTGCTCCTCCCTCCGTCGTCTCTCTTCTTCCTTCTTCAACTGCTCCTCCCTCCGTCGTCTCTCTTCTTCCTTTTTCAACTGCTCCTCCCTCCGTCGTCTCTCTTCTTCCTTCTTCAACTGCTCCTCCCTCCGTCGTCTCTCTTCTTCCTTCTTCAACTGCTCCTCCCTCCGTCGTCTCTCTTCTTCCTTCTTCAACTGCTCCTCCCTCCGTCGTCTCTCTTCTTCCTTCCTCAACTGCTCCTCCCTCCGTCGTCTCTCTTCTTCCTTCTTCAACTGCTCCTCCCTCCGTCGTCTCTCTTCCTCCTTCTTCAACTGCTCCTCCCTCCGTCGTCTCTCTTCTTCCTTCTTCAACTGCTCCTCCCTCCGTCGTCTCTCTTCTTCCTTCTTCAACTGCTCCTCCCTCCGTCGTCTCTCTTCTTCCTTCCTCAACTGCTCCTCCCTCCGTCGTCTCTCTTCTTCCTTCTTCAACTGCTCCTCCCCCCGTCGTTTCTCTTCTTCCTTCTTCCTCAACTGCTCCTCCCTCCGTCGTCTCTCTTCTTTCTCCTTCTTCAACTGCTCCTCCCTCCGTCGTCTCTCTTCTTTCTCCTTCTTCATCTGCTCCTCCCTCCGTCGTCTCTTTTCTTCCTCCTCCTTTAACTCCTCTTCTCTCCACAACTGCGCATCTCTCCTCATTTGTTCCACCTGCTGCCGTCTCTCTTCCTTCAACTCCTCTTCTCTCCACAACTGCGCATCTCTCCTCATTTGTTCCACCTGCTGCCGTCTCTCTTCCTTCAACTCCTCTTCTCTCCACAACTGCGCATCTCTCCTCATTTGTTCCACCTGCTGCCGTCTCTCTTCTTTCTCCTTCTTCAACTTCTCCTCCCTCCGTCGTCTCTTTTCTTCCTTCTTCATCTGCTCCTCCCTCCGTCGTCTCTCTTCTTCCTTCTCTTGTTTTTCCTTTCGCTGCATCCGTTTCAAATTTTCGCATTGTTCACATATCACAAGTTGATCATCGGGTATACATTCAATGCGAAAAAAATCGGGAGGAGGAAATTTTTGGAAATTTCTTCCACACATGGAACAGCGATCCATTTCCCAAAAGAATTTGAAACGAAATTGGGAAAACATGTTCTGTAGTCTGTAGAATGCAGGTACAATTGGTGACAGAATTCCCTGTGAAAATAAAAAAGGCGAATCGGTCATATAAAACGATGAATATTTTGAGAATGTCATTAACCACCCGAAATTTGTATTTCCCTTCCTAATCCCTTTCAATCCAACATAATACTAAAGCAGGTTTATTGTCATTAATAATAATAATATATATAATATATGTATATATATATATATATTTTCTTCTATATATATATATATATATATATATATATATATATGACAATGTCAGACCAACGGAGGAAAAATGAAACAGGAATTTCCTTAAGTACTTTCGTATATTAAATACATCTTCAGAAGGTCACCTTCTGAAGGTGACCTTCTGAAGATGTATTTAATATACGAAAGTACTTAAGGAAATTCCTGTTTCATTTTTCCTCCGTGGTCTGACATTGTCACATTCTTAATCACGTGTTTATTTTCGTGATATACACACACACACACATATATATATATATATATATATATATATATATATATATATATATATATATATATATATATATATATATATATATATATATATTTCATTGAATATGACCGCATATTCTGTATTTATTATTTTCTGGTTTAGGGCTTCTATCCCTCTAACTATTTTCTTAGCATCAGGGCTTAATTGAAATAGGAGTTCTCCAAAACTCATTTTCGTACTTTTAAGGTGAAGAAAAGAAGTGATTTACTATAGAGTGTATTACACTTATTTGTATAATTTGCACGACGTTTCGAACCTCCATGGTTCATTCTCAAGTGAACAGGTCTAGTTGATTTTATACCCGCATTAGGTCAGGTGATAATACAATGAAGGTGAAAACATGGGGGGATACATAAGGGATAAACATAGGGGCTGCAGAAGGCTTATTGGCCCATACGAGGCATCTCCTATCTAAACACAAAGATTAATCCAGTGTAATTGGCCTGTTATGTTGGACATTGTCTTCTGTGTTGGCATCGATATGTTCTTGTCTTGTCCTTACTCTCATGGTGGGTAGAGTAAATAGTTCCGTGATTTGGGTGTTCATGGTAGGTCGCTCTATTCTTATGTGAATTGCCTCAAGAATATGTAATCTTCTTGAATCTTGGGTTTTGTCTATTATGCAAGTATTCTTGTTCAACATTTCTTTTGTTAGAGTAATGTCATGGGCTTGTCTCATGTGATTCCTAGGGGCACCAGATGGAGTATGTATGGGTTGTATGTATGGTATATGGTTGTATGGAGTATGTATGGTATATCCTGGGAGTATGGGTTCGAGTCACTTCTGGGGTGTGAGTTTTCAGTTGCATGTTTGAAAGAAAACCTGCTGCCAGTATACACCAATATATATATATATATATATATATATATATATATATATATATATATATATATATATATATATATATATATATATATATATATATATATATATATATATATATATATATATATATATATATATATATATATATATATATATATATATATTTCTATTTATTTTCTTCTGTATATATATATATATATATATATATATATATATATATATATTTCTATTTATTTTCTTCTTCGAGGATGTGGGTCCCTTTAATTAAACCAGTGGTGGTACCCCTAAATATATATATATATATATATATATATGTATATATATATATATATATATATATATATATATATATATATATATATATATATATATATATATATATATATATATATATATATATAACTGAAAACTCAAACCCCAGAAGTGACTCGAACCCATACTCCCAGGAGCCACGCAACTGGTATGTACAAGACGCCGTAATCCACTTGACCATCACGACCGGACATAATGAGGTGATAGCCGAGGCTATTTGAACCACCCCACCGCCGGCACTCGGATAGTAATCTTGGGCATAGCATTTTACCAAATCACCTCATTCTTTGGGGAATGAGGTGATTTGGTAAAATGCTATGCCCAAGATTACTATCCGAGTGCCGGCGGTGGGGTGGTTCAAATAGCCTCGGCTATCACCTCATTATGTCCGGTCGTGATGGTCAAGTGGATTAAGGCGTCTTGTACATACCAGTTGCGTGGCTCCTGGGAGTATGGGTTCGAGTCACTTCTGGGGTGTGAGTTTTCAGTTGCATATTGTCCTGGGGACCATTCAGGCTTGTTCGCATATATATATATATATATATATATATATATATATATATATATATATATATATATATATATATATATATATATACATATATATATATATGATATATATATGACCGACAAAGTATGATTAACAATTCTAACACGAAAATTTCTCGATATTTCTTATGTTTCTTTTTACAGTCGATGGTAATTGAAAAATCAAATCTCCAAATTCGTTTTTATTTCTATTCTGCGGCTTCTCCAATGGTTTCGATGAAGACATCATAAGAAGGAAGGTGAAACGCCATGCAACCTCTGAAGAGACAACTAACACAACACCTGTACCCTCTATTAGACTATTTTACAGGAACTTCTTTTCCACAGCTCATAAAACGGAGGAGAGGGTCCTGAATAATTTTTTTAATAGGAACGTTATCCCTACAGACAAAAATTAGAAAATTCAATTGACCATTTACTATAAAACCAAAAACACGGCCAATCTACTCTTGAAAAACTCTCCAGACACAAAGCAGAATGCCTTAAAAGAGATCAACGTCATCTATGCCTTCAAATGTCCAATTGGGGACTGTAAGCCCCAAAGAACTCAGTATATAGGCAAGACAACAACATCTCTTTCCAGGTGATTAACAATGCAAAAGCAACAGGGCTCCATTAAGAAACATATAATCTCTTCCCAAAACCAGACCATCACCATAGAAGTCTTAACAAACAACACAGAAATCATCGATAGATACAGCGATAGCAGGCGGCTTGACATCTGCAAGGCACTACACATCAAAAAGTCAACACGAGCAATCAACATCCAATTAATGCACAACTATATTCTACCCACTTCAAGACTCCGGACCAATATAGAATCATCAAGAGGAAGTATAGGCCAATAGGCCCTTTGCAGTTACTTCCATTCTTCCCTTTCACTTATTCAATTTATACCCCTTGAACCGTGTTCTGTCTTGTGTTGGTCAAACGTTTGTTCACCTGTTACAGACCCGAGTCCATCGTCGGAGCACGGAGCAGTGACAACAATGCCATCTGTAAGTCCGCTCCCGAAACCTCCTCCAAATAGACGACGCCATCTAGTGAGGACGGGATATACCGGCCACAGGTGCTGGATTCCCGTCTTATTCAGCTCGTAACATAGCCGCTGCTGACCTCTGGTGAGGTGGCGCTTAGACAGCAACGCCATCTATGGAGTGAAGAGGTGGACGTTTGTGTCTAAGCCTGTAAGTGAGGTTCCCTAGAGCGTCCCGGTATTGATGACGTGTCTGATTGCAGAGTCGACCTGGGACTGCTGTATTGGACGATGGATCAGTCTACCCAAGGCAGCCAAGGTCTCTTCACGAGTCTGCTGAAGAATCTGTGAGTCACCCCCCGGACGAACTCTGTTGAGAGTATTAGCCTGCCTGGGACGTGGCAGTGTCGGGAATCGCCTTATCAGGGACTGGCTGGTGGAAGAGACTAGCCACTGTGGTGCTTAGTGAGGAGAGTGATCAGCGGGATCACACGAGGCTCCTGCCTAAGGCTCGCAACCCTGGTATCGGTCGTGGAGTGGCCTGTACAGCGGAGCTGATCGGTACCTGCCAGCTACAGGCTGGATTGTGGTTAAAGGCCTCCACGATGGAGCACCCATTGGGACTGTGATTTGGCTGGCCTGTGACCAGGGTAGATTCGCCAATAGAATCATAAAGGATTCATCGTGGGCCACGGAAGAAGGAACCAGGGCTACCCAGAGCGAGCACCGTGGAGCATCCAGTGTCTTCGGAGGAAGACAACCCTGTACATAATAGTGTAGTTATAACACCCGCGTGTGACTGATATTTATTTATTACATGGTGATGGTAAATATATATATAAATTGGAACATTTGTATCCCTCCCCCTTTAATTTAATTTGCATTACAGAACACACCCCCTTGAAAGCCTCTACTAACTTGGGGCCGGATTCCCAAACTCTACTAACATCAGAGACAAGGATCAGCTGACGCCATAAACACAACACACCGCCCTACGGTGCGGCAAGTCTCCCTCTAACACACACCTCTGCTTTAATCACCGTTCCTCTATCTACAGCACAAAGCAACAAGCACCTTGGTAGCTCCGATCATCTTCACCATAAACGCGTCCAACAACATCAGTACTGGTGCAGTCATCGGGAGGACAAACCTTTCATGCAAACTGCACCTACTATCAACAAGAAGAAGAACATCAGAGAAGAACCCGGTTGCGTCCCAGTAGGGCTGTAACATCACCTCATCCAAAACTGTTTCAACATATCACCTCACCCAAAGCGAGTATATAATACAAGATGTTTGGCATTATAATTAGTAAAACTCTGTTAAATGTTTTCAGGTTACAAGTTGTATGTGTGTGTAAACTAAAGTCTTTGAAAATGTAATACGTTATTAAGAAACGCATTCAAGCGACGCGTCAGACTAGAAATAAAAATTAATTTTGGAGAATTGATTTTTCAATTACCATCGACAGTAAAAAGAAACTTAAGAAATATTGAGAAAATTCGTGTTAGAATTATTAATCTTACTTTCTCGGGCATATTTAACAACATATGTTTACAAGAAGGATTGCTACCAAAATATACTAATATATATATATGTCGTACCTAGTAGCCAGAACGCACTTCTCAGCCTACTAAGCAAGGTCCGATTTGCCTAATAAGCCAATTTTTCCTGAATTAATATATTTTCTCTAATTTTTTTCTTATGAAATGATAAAGCTACCCATTTCATTATGTATGAGGTCAATTTTATTTTATTGGAGTTAAAATTAACTTAGATATATAACCGAACCTAACCAACCCTACCTAACCTATCTTTATAGGTTAGATTAGGCAGCCGAAAAAGTTAGGTTAGGTTAGGTTAGG